GCCACCGGTGGCCCTTGGTGCCAGCTCCTGCGCAGAGCCGCCGGCGGCTCCGTCCCACGCAGGCGCTGGGGGATGTTCTGCCCTCAGCCCACCTTGGTTCCCTTCTGCCCTTCCTGTGGGAACAGGGCTGTGGGACACCCTGGGATGAGCAACAGGCGGCGGGCTGAGGGTAACCTGCCATTCACCCCGCCAAAGGTCACGCCAGTGCAGCCCTTGGTGCGGAGCAGCGGCTCCCCATGACCAGCATCTGGACCAGGATTTGCCTCTGTCTGGATGATGCACTCAAGACAACCCCATCATACACCAGCTCAAGAGACACAGACTATAGCACCTCGCTCCCACCACAGCACCCAGCTCTGGCTCTAACCCCACACAGCCCAATCCAATAGTACCACCAGGACCCCTCCACCCAGCCAAAACCCCACGGCGCTTCCCAGAAAAAACACATCCCATCCCTGCAGGACGTTGCCCCCCCCAGGATCTCTGGTCCTGCCCAACCATGGGGTCTTTGGCCAGGGTGGGGATGCAGCCAGGGATGCTCTCCTGGCCGGGAACCCCTTTGTGTGTCTCTGCTCATGGAGGGTGGGATTTGCTGTCCCGAAACATCCCCCCACGCATGTTTTACCGTGAGGAGCCGGCGGCAGGTGACCCGGTGGGTTAAGACCACGCTCCGGAGGCGACGCTCACATGTGCGATTATGATGATGATAAAACACGACTCTGTCCCCGCACAGCTTCCCTCCCACCTCCTGGGGATCAGCTGCGCCTTGCCACGGCTCCTCTCCCCCTTCTGCTCAGTCATCTGCCTTCCCATTTAACCCCCTCGGGAGCGGGGCTGGTGGTGGGGAGATGGTGGGGGGGAGTGAAGGAAGGCAGGTAAAATAGCCATTCCCGCATCACCCAACCAACAAGCCCAAGCCTTGGAGGAGACTACAAGCATCCCCCCGGCCCTGGGAAACCAGCCTGGCCTTCATCCCCCTCCTGTAACCACACACATGGACCCAAAATTAAATAAATAAGTCAGAAACTGAGGCTTTGTTCTGTCCCCGCACATGACATCAGCCGAATAGCGATCCCTTGACATAATCCCCA